ACATGTGTTGATATAAAGCTTAGAGGTTCACTGAGATCTCCCTCATGAGAGAGCATGGTTTCCTTGGCTTTTTTCCTTTTTTTTTTTTTTTGTCACCTTCTTCCCATTTTCTTTCTACCTACTAGGAATTCTTCAACATGCCAATTTATGCTATTGGTGGTCATTCCCATTTTCTGGAACTACTATACTTTCAATTTTTTAAAAGGTGGGAACTATGGAAAGAGAAGATAAACATATGTGTGCTCAGCCCTCCTCTTTGAAGAGGAACTGTGTTGCAGTCTTTGCTTAGAATTTGGGGTGACAAAGACCTTTGTGCTAAAACAGCAAACAAAAAGAGACTATCCACTTTCCTAAAAATTCTTTAAGTTACTACACCATCAAAAATGCCTTGCTGGCTTTCCTTCTCCACAGGTTCCAGCTTCCTGACATTTCACAAGGCTCTAGCCTTTTCTCACCAGGTCTTCTGAAAAGACTTCTGCTGTCCCCTCCCCAGTTTCTCTTGCTTGAAATGGAAGCAGCAGCAGGCCTTCCTACCTCAGACATGGCGAGATAAACCATTTGACAGACCTGAAGAATTTCAATCTTTTTTTAATAAATGGAGAGAGTTTATATGAACCCTAGGTATGTTTGTTTTTTGAGCATCTAAGCTGCTGAAATATGGTCATGTTTTTGTTAAATAAAATATCTGGATTCAGCTGAAAGGCTTCTTAACATATGGGCCATAATAATCAAAAATAAGATGACAGAAAAACTGTAATCACTAACAGTTGGTTCATTATAAACATTCTAAAAAATGACAAGTCATTTCATATATTACTAAATTTCACAAGAGCCAAGAGAATTATCAGACATTAGGGACAAGTCTTTAAATTTGTTCCTAAATCTACTGTGTCCCAGGCTACACATCAAGAGATCAATAAATCTGCAATAAGAAAAACAACAAGAAAATGCTTTTGCTACTAATTAGAAAGCAAATATTCTCTCTCTGTGTCAGAAAGCAATCCCGAAGAGAGAGCCTATATTGTTGGAATTTATTCCATTAATGGACTGGCAAACAGAGATAAAGCTATAAACACCTCTTGGCATCAAAAATCTAGGCTTGGAATCAGAGGACTCTTAAGGTTTATTTGGAAAAGCACACATCTTGAAAGCTACCATACAGGATAGTTCATTTAAACACCATCCTCCTCGCACAAATATTTGAGTTGTCTAAGAGGTATGTGTGCGTGTGCACACGTGCACACCAGGCAGGGGACATGGAGAAGTGACAGATTTAGTTAAGGAAGTAAAAGTTTCCTTTCTTAAAGCTCTTATCTGAGTGTTGGTACCTTTTAGAGTCCTTCCTCTCCATACCTGGAAGTCATTTAAGAGCCAGGATATTCATAAGCAAGTATAGTCACAATTCTGATATATTAGTAACAAAAAACGTAACAGGAATTCTCTAGTCTTTTCAAGGAGTGATACAAGAGACTAGTATTTTATTTCACTCATAATCTACAAAAGTAGCATGATAGAGTTACTGCATATAAACATCAAACCTGAAAATAATAAATTCATATACATTAAAGTGCTAAAAAAGATTCAGTTTCTTTCCCTGTCATGCATGGAAAAACTGTTCAAGCAATCCGAATATTTCAGTACAATTTGACCCAGAGTATATATTCCTCTTTGGAAGATGCAGAGAAGTTAACTTTCTCATGATATGTGTAACAGTTTAGAATTAGAGATCCTTCCCAAAATTTCATCTGTCTTTCTCTTAAAACAGAAGTCATCAGGCTCCATCCAGAGCTCAAACTTCCTAACTCTGACCTCCTAATAATTCAGCTGTTTGAGGAACTTGCTGGCCATTTCTTGAACAGGATTAGGAAAGATGCATTTCCAGAGTTCAGAATTAGAACTTGGATTGCATTTTTCCTTATGGAGAAAAAAAAATGAAAATTAAAATGAAATGTTACTATGAACACTATAGATTAAATGGCTTTTGATTGCAACCTCAGAATCCAACAATTTATGATGCTGTATCTATGGAAAAAACAAATTGAGAGTAAACTTTAAAAGTCAACTCTGTTGAAAATAGAATATCCATGTTGTGTTATATTATAACTTCAAAAGCATTTTATATATTTTAAAAATACCTCCTCATACAAACATTCAGTTAATCTTCCTAACAACCCAATGTGTCTGGCAGAGAACATGTTATTTACTTTTCAAATGATGTCACTGGCACAGAAAGTGTAAATGATTTGCCCAAGCTCATCTCCTCCTTAATGGGGACTTTTTCCATTGCAAGTGATGTCCTCTACTTGCCCTCACCTGCCCTACTCCTTTCATTCGTGTCCAAATTCTTATTCTGCACAGTCCCAGCTCCAATATTTATGTTCTCATGAAAACAGTCAGGATACCCGCCGGCTGACAGTGACAGTTTCTTCCCTTGACCTCATAGCACCTTCTTTTCCTATCATGACTAAATGGATTTTGAATCGCAAGATTTGGTTTGGTACCTGCTTGGCTATGTACCGTCAGTGTGATCCTGCAAGTAAACTAACCATAGTTACCACCTGAACGACAGCACTGTGCACATTAGCATAGCAGAAAAAAACGGAGTATACGCCCTTAGAGTTATTTGAAAATACAATTCTGGTAAAACAAATAGGAAAGAACTATGTGAACTATAAAGCCATATACAAAGTTCTCTTCACAGACACACAGAAATGCACACACACACATACACACACACAGGTTTTCTTTCTTAGATACAACATTTATTTCCCCTATTTTCTGGTTGAAAAAGGACTCCATAACTAATGAATACTTGATTTTGTCATAGCACACTGTGCCTCACACCTAGGGACCTGATACAAATTTCTAAAATGAATGGAGGATTGCGGGTATGGCTACATTAGTCAAGGTAAATTTCATCAAGCTTATCACTACCTGCTAAGTGTGGAAAGCCAAAAACTGACTTCAACTTCCCTCCAATCTCATTGCCTATTTCCTCTTTGCCACCCCTTCAGTCACCCTAGATTCATCCCTGATTCCATAAATATTCCCTGCATTAATCTGGTTCTAGGTCTTGGACAAAGTTATTACAGCCTTTTCTGTTTTTAATCTGTTGAAATAGTATCCAGTCTTACATACCTAGCTCAAATGCCATTTCTCCATACAGCTTTCCTTAATCTTACCCACTTGGAATGACACCTCCTACTCTTAAATCCACAATATCTGTTCATATGTTTCACAGCCATTATAATTTGACCACACAGTATTATGTCCTTCTGTGTGGATTATCTAATATAGTACCATTTTGATCATGTGAAGATCAGCATCATGTTTGTTATTTTTATATCCCACAAAACATGTAGTAAAATGTCTTCCATATGGTATGTACTCAAATAATACACAGGGTGGGGAAAAAGTAGGTTTATAGATGTTCATATGGAAAATAATATAATAAATAATAAGAATGAACTCTGTTTTGCATACTCACAACTGTAAACCTATTTTTGCCCCACCTTGTGTGATTTGACAGTTCAGCTGCATGTTTCTGCCTTAAAAAACTGCCATAAAAACATAAAAATGATTTTTTTTTAAATCACTTTAAACAGAGTGCTAATCTACTGTTTGAAGTCATCATTACTGGACATTCCTATCAAGATAGCACATTATGGGCAGAAACATATCTTTACCAACATTTAAAAAGCTACAAATACATAAACTACTTATAATCTGATTTCCTCCATACTTAGAGAGTAGGATGTTCTTATTAATTGCACTTTTATCATTAAAGAATGACTTATTTAAAAAGTTAAAGTACTCAATATGACATTTGGTTAAAAGCATAGAAGATACTTTAGAAAATAACAAGAGGTTGACAGATTTTAAATGCGTATCATTTTTATCTTTCATCACTGTAAGTATTCAAACTAACATAACAGCTACCAATAGTCCTCATTCTTGTTATTATCATAACATAAACTTCCTTTGTAACAAAGGTACATGAGTCTCCTCTCTCAGCGATATTTAAGTCACATAATCCTTCAATGTCATTTTCCCCCGCTGGGCAGTTCCAGACATAATGCACACCCAGCCCACCAACAGCTGTCCTCCAGACTAAAGGGCTTCTGTGCCTTCTCAAAGGGTAGGAGCTACCAGATTTCTTTTAAAAACATATTATTTTAGATGCTAAGCTTCTATATTCTTATTTTATTTGTTATTGTCTTCACCGTATTACTTAACTCCAGAGACTTTGAGAGTTTCTGCTACTTGCTGCTTTTTGTCCCTCCCCAACCACTAAACAACTTTGAATTCATTTGCAGCACTACCGGCCCCTTTATTATTTGATATGTCAGGAAGGCTTGCCCAAAGACGTGGGAGAGACAAAGAGTGGTCCTTTTAATAAGACACCCATTGACGTTGAACCTTCTCTAATGACTTCTTCATTTTCTGAACTGACTTAGGCTGTTATTAATGACTCTCAACTAATAAGGGAAGCATGCCCTCTTAGGGGATATCAAAATCACTGTCAAGGAAGAGGGATGTGTAGTTTGAAAAAAAATGTATTGAATTGTACTTTAAAATTGTATTTAGAATTTGAAAACAATGTGTTTTTCCAAGCACAAATATGACCCCAGTGAAGAGTATCAAATTGTGATAGGTAGGAGTATGAATTTTAAAGTAATATCACTGTATACTAAATAGTAAACAATGTGGCTCTTACAGAGCACAATGAGTAAATACTCAGCATCTTTCAATAAAATCGTATTTCCTTTATATTCTAAATTTATCAGACATTGTGCCAATATTTTAGGCTTACTATTAAATAAAAAAAATTTTAATTCTAACTTACAATTAGCAGAAAAGAAAAAGAGGAAGAAAGAAGGAGGAAAAGAAGGAGCCATGGAAAAGCAATGCCATCCTATCCAATCAGCGATGAATGAAGCACCTTTTGAGGAAGATGGTAATACGATTTAAGAGCATGGACACAGTGAAAATACACTCACCTCAGTTATATGGGGATTGGGATTAAAACCACAGAGGCTACACACAGTGGTTTTACATCCAGTGCATGTGTTAAAATTGGCCTTTTCCGGAACATGCAACAGCAATTCAGTGGTATTGCAAAGAGGACAGATGGTTTTCGGGGGGCCCTGCACCGGAATTTGGGCTGCAGATGAAGTCAGTGGCTGAGGTTTCCCGGGTCCTGCCTGGCTTACTGGTTCTGCAGATTGCTGAGCTGATGGCTTTGCTGGGCCAGGCTGTTGAGCAGAGGGCTTTGCTGGGCCAGGCTGTTGAGCAGAGGGCTTTGCTGGGCCAGGCTGTTGAGCAGGGGGCTTTGCTGGGCCAGGCTGTTGAGCAGGGGGCTTTGCTGGGCCAGGCTGTTGAGCAGGGGGCTTTGCTGGGCCAGGCTGTTGAGCAGGGGGTTTTGCTGGGCCAGGCTGTTGAGCAGGAGGTTTTGCTGGGCCAGGCTGTTGAGGAGGTGGCTTTGTGGGGCCAGGCTGTTGAGCAGGAGTCTTTCCTGGCCCAGGCTGCTGAGCCAGAGACTTTACTGGCCCAGCCTGCTGTGCTGGGGTCTTTGTAGGCCCAGGTGGCTGCGCTGGAGATTTTGGTGTTCCCACATGCTGGGCTGGGTGCTTTGCTGGTCCTGGAGGCTGAGATGCCGGCTTTGCTGTCCCTGGTGGCTGGACTGGGGGTTTTGCTGTCAGCTGCTGAGCTGAGGGCTTTGCTGTCCCAGCTTGAGCTAGGGCCTTCGCTGGCCCTGCTTGCTGAGTTGTTTTTGCAGGTCCAGGCTGTGGCGTGGAAGGTTTTTCAGGTCCAGGCTGCTGCACTGGAGGTTTTCCAGGGCTTGCTTCTTGAGTTGGTGGCTTGGATTGGCTTTGCAGTAAGGGTTTGACTGATTCTCCCTTGACTGTGTCTGCCTGTTTAGTCTGAGGCCTAGTTGCATCTCTTTGAAGTGGCAATTTTGTCTGGTCTGTCTGAGGAGCCTGGGTAAGCCCCTGAATTGGCTTTCCAGTCCCTGGAGGTTGTGATTTCATTTTTTCTGGTTGCTGAGAAGATACTGATTTGGGAGTGCTATCCTGCTGAAGTGGGGTGCTGACAGGTCCTTGCTGCTTAGGAATTGACTTGGGTGACTGTTGTGACGGAGGCTTTGTCATTCCTTCAGGTTTTCCTTGTTCCTTCTGAGCTATTTTTTGTTTCTTGGCAGCGTCTTCCTGGGATGCATCAGAGTCTGATATCAAATCAAAAGGATTGAATTTATTTACAACAGATGAGACAGCACTTAAAGGGTTAACCTCTGAGAGGAAGCCAGGCATCATGCTAGACTTGTGCTCTTCCTTAAAATCAGTTCTGGACTTTGATTCTTTCAAACTAATAGTGGACGGACTCCTTCCAGGCAATTTCTGCTCCGACCGCAAAGTGTCTGTAGTTCTACTTTTACTGAGACCAGGCTGAGCTGGACGCCCGGGGTCCGGTGGTTTTCCTGGTGGCTTTGAAGGGTGACTACTATCCAACTCTTGTTTCCTAGAAGAGTGAAACAAAGAGAAGTGGAAATGTTGAAATTTATCATAACCAAAAGTAGTATAACTTAAATCCTCATAATTATAAATATTAACTAGAATCCATTTTTGTGGCATCCTGTAAGTGACTTTAAAACTTTTAATGCCTTTATTAGTTTCTTTATAGGCCCAGGGTAAAGATTTTCAACAAGAACACAAATAAAAGGGAGAAAAAAATACTACGAGTGATGAAAAAATAAGAAAGCTAGTTAGAAAGCATTATAATAAATTTAACGTACATTTACACTTAATAGAATCTGGCCATACTTAAAACCAAGTACACATATTAACTCAATAAATCAATGCAATGCTCTATTCTAGTACATTCATGTTCACAAGGTGTATCCATTTTCATTAAAAGTTATGGTCAAAGAATGCTAGTCTCTCAAATACTAGCAGCACTAAGAAGTAAAATATTCATTTTAAAATGTGGGAATTCACTGCAACTATACTTTGTTTTTTGTTTTTACTTGATTATGACAATTTACATTAGTTACATAAAGCACACAATGTGACATCAGGGGCATTTCTAGTAAAGGGTGACACTTAGAGATTCTGAGAAAGCTGATCAGTTCTTCTAAAAAGGTAATATCCATCAACTATTAACTTTATAGAATGAAAATTCCTACCTAAGTAGCAATTTCTGAGAAACATTTCCATCTTTTCTTGTGGAAGAATGTTGTATCATTAATGTTCTTTTTTAATAGCTAATTCTGAGATCTCTTTGCAGGGTAACAATAGATGCATAAAGCATCTTGAGATACAGTGTGCTATGCAAACAGCAACAAGCTAGCTGTGACCCCGCTTGGAAAAGTGTTGCTACTTTCCTTAGATGAAGAAAATACATGATGATCTTTTTACTTAATATTTTCTACAACATTTACTATTGTTATTCTTAGATTACTAATATTATTGACATTGTTTAAAATGTAACAAGCTGCCCTGGCCAGGTGCTCGCTAGAGCATCTACCCAATATGTCAAGGTTGTGGGTTTGATCTCTGGTCAGGGCACATACTGGAAGCAACCAATGAACGCATAAATAACTGGAACAATAAATCTCTCTCCTCTCTCTCTCTTTCTCTCCCTCTCAAATAAATAAATACTGTTAATAGTTTAGATAACAAGATCAAATTTAAATGACTATGTTGAAGAATTAAAATAGTTTCTCATATATACTTTTAGCCAAAAATCAAGTACATTAATTTTTAAAATAAGCCATTCTTTCTTTACTCATAAATGTAAAACTAATAACATGCTGCATCAGAATTATGGGATGGGGGAGGAAATTATAAGTATTTTGCTTGGTATCTATAGCTTTTTCATTTTGAAAAATACTTCCTTTTTAATTAAAAGGAGGAGTAAAACAGTGATTCAGTAGCACTTAAAATATAGGATGATCATAATAAAATTCTGCAGGTTTTTAATTTGTCTCATCAAAATTTACCTGCTTGTGGGCAGGCTAATTTTAAATTTCATATAATGTGTTAGTTAATAATATAAAGCATAACAGAAAGACACACAAGTATTACTTCTAATTAGCAAAAGATCAGAAATAAAGTAATCTATGAATGGCAATGTTTATACACAAAATGACTTTCTAATAAAAGAATAAAATTCTTAGCTTTGGCACTTTCCTCCAGGAAAAAAAAGTTACAAAAACTTCAGATACTACCATGTCTCTGAAATCTTTACTTAAATAAGGAACTAAAATTAATGTCTATATTAATTTCAGAAGTTCAAGTTTTCAAAATGCTCTTTTTCCATTTCCATTTGGGGAAAATGATTTTGAATGTTTCTTTATAGGCCTTCCTATGTGCTCTCTTCCATTTGAAGGCAGAAAAGCCATTATAAACTTATAATAGATTATTTTCAAAATTCCACTGTTTAGATCTTTATTTTATTCTAGCAATGTTGTGCACTCAAGTAATAAAACAGACCAACCCTTGAAGGGCATATGCTTAGGGACTCTTGTTAAAGAACTGACTATCCTATAAGTAATTATTTGGACAAGTTATTGAATTGGCTCCCTTGTACAGAGTTCTAGAAACCAGTATTTAAGCAGAGTACAAAAAAATCTATTCTTAACTAAATTATCCTCTATTGAAAATACTACTTACACTTAGTCACTGTTTGGTGATATTATTTTACTTAATCCAACATGTGTACTGAACAAATAAACTTTATGAATACCAAATATATATAAAAATTAAAATATGTAAAGCAAGCAGCTTGTATCAGAAATTATAATCACATGTACTTTCTACAAATGTAAGTTGTATTATATTAGAGTCCCCCTGTGAGAAAATACCTATATGGCTATAAAGATTGCCCTACGATTTAAGTCTTGGTTGCTATAATATGTAAATAAACATAAAATATGGAGATCTGGCAGTGACAAATAGACAATCATTAAGAGAAAATATAGGCTAAAACCAGACGAAAATGTAAAGATGTCTTAGCAAATTGTGACTCTTTGGTGAATTTTTGTTTGGTAAACAGCTGTTCTGTAAAAAGAGAAAAATAACTAAAATACAGTATGTGTCTTGTTTACGTGACTCTGAGCTCCTGGACAATGCGTGTCGCTCATCCTTGCATCACTAGTACCAAACCTGGTAACTAGCAGATGAGCATTAATGATTGATGAGTAAGAATGAGTGAATGAATGAATGAATGAACATGGCAGGTTTTGCATTATTCTAGATTATTGTTTCTTGAATTCCTTCCACTTCAAATCCTTCTACAGGCCTTCTGAGATATAAATGGAAACATTCCATATTCTTTTTAGATCTGGATTTGGCTGCTCTGGAAAGAAACAGTTGTGGAAGTGTCTAACAAGGAGGCGAGGCCCAGAGGAACTGTAAAGAAAATAAGTAAGTCAGAACTCTTACAAGATATTCCACTAATTAGAAGTGATTTTTAGGCCTTGGCCAGTAGCTCAGTTTGTTTGGGTATCATCTCTACATGGCAAGGTTGACAGCTCCATCTCTGGTCAGGGCACATACAAGAAACAACCAATGAATACATCAATAAGCGGAACAATAAATTGATGTTTCTCTCTCTTTCTCTTCCTTCCTATCTCTCTCTAAAATCAACAAGTAAAATAAAATTAATAGGAATCTTTTTCAGTAAAGCCCTTTTCATATGATATATCTGTAGCTGTAAAAAGAATGAATAAGGAAGTCATAAAATTGCATTTCCCTGGGTCCATAGTAAATTAAAAATCCAGGAGCATTTCATTTGTAACCTGTAACTTCTAGCTTGTAACTACCCATGCTTTATGCAACAACACTCTTTTACTATTGTCATCACCAGATTAGAATTTTTCTTTCATGGGTTAACAGAAAAGATGGTTCAGCTACAAGTGAAGTAAGCATGTATTCAAGTGTAGAATGTAAAAGCAGTTGGAATGCTAACATTTTCTGTTAAATGTAACACAATAGGCAATGACAGCTTGGCAGTGCTGAGTCACATAAAATTTTACATTAGGAAAATAAACAACTATTGGAATTCATTTTTATACTATAGAAGATACTAGGGCTTAAAGAGGCTAAGAAATTAATCCAAGGCTATAAAATTAGTCACAGAAATATGGTGTCCTGATCCCTGAGGGTGAAGGGGGGTGGATTTCCACCACATCGCACTGCCTTTCCCACATTTAAAATATAGATAGATCAAGTTAACTCATAGCAATGAATAATCCAACATGCAACTTGTCTATAGTCATCACAGCTGGTGCCACTCACTGCTGATATTAATATTACCACTTTTTTATTTGTAGGGTTTCTTCATATTAAAATTCAAACAAAAATGTCCCCTCTCAATTTTTAATTGATTCTCACAATGACTTCACAAGACAGGTAAGACAATGATCACTTTCCTTATTTAGGGGCAAGGAAACTGAGGCACATATGACTGAGAAACAATTATAATTTACCACGAGTCAGTTAAAAGTAATAGGATAAGAAAATAGGTTCCTGGGTTCTCAACATTTATTTCTTTAAATTACTTTAAAGTTAAACCCCATCTCTTAAAACTTCAAATAATTTGGATATATTTTCTCATATATACCTAATGTGTTTTTAATATTAAATGATAAACCAAGTGTTTCTTTGGTTATCGCCTTTGGGGATAATAACTTCCCCAAAATTATCTTCTCTAATATTAATAGGAATCTTTCAGTAAAATATAAGCAGTTGCAAAAATTAGAAACATGTGTATATATTTAGATGAAGCTTTCCTAGTAACAGGGCACAGATTACCTATTAATAAGAATTCTCATAAAATTATCAATTGAAAGCTTTAAAAGCATGCTATCAGATACAAATACTGCCTAAAACACCAGCATTATATAGGCTGAAATAATACTTCTCAGACACACTCTGAAAGAAGTTAGGAATGTAGAAATCAAAGCTCACACTCTTCTTGGTATTCGTAACCAGCATGCTAAACCTGTTGCTTGTGACACTTAGGAAAACTGCAGAACAGGCATACATCTCTAAAGGTTAACAGAAGTATTGCGCCTCATTATTATCTTATGAAAATAAAGATAATATGGACATTCAAAGTATTTTCCAAGTAAAATTTTCATCAATAGTGAAAAAATAGTACATATCATAAGCTGTACTACTTAAGATAATGGATAAAAGAGGTTTTTTACCAAAGAAATAGCCCATATATTTCTAGTTTAAAAACATAGAAAAACATATCCATTATAAGGAGCTAGCTTAACCAGCAGTGGTGGTTTTGTTTCAAGAAAATAGAGTTTTTACCTGATATATATTAGTCATTTAGGATTTTACGTGAAAACTATTGTCATAAAACATTATATGTATATAAAACATTTTACATTTCTCCTATATTAAACTTAATATTGTAGATACAATCATATTCATATGCTTATGATAGTTTCTAAGTTAAAATAGTTTTACTTTATTAGGTATAGCATAAGAATCTACACCTATATATCCAGATTTTTCATATTTCCAATACCTCAAAAGAAAATTGTATGTTGCCTTCAGTGATCATTACGCAGGAATGGTTTCAGGACCACGGATAGAGAACTATTCTCTAAGGGAGGGTGAAAAGTTAAAGGTTTGTTTACAATAAAGGAAGGGAAGGCACAAGAATTATACCCTCTTACTGCTCTAATTAGAAAACAACTAATTTATTAGGATGAAGGAAAATGGAGAGCTGGAGAAGGAAATGAATACATTAGTGTTACAGACTAGCTCGTAATTGCCTGTACAAGTTGCCATTTATTTGCTTTGTTTTTAAAAGTATGTACTGGAAACTAATTTTAAGATAACACAAAATCACATGCTCTTCCATAAACTGTAAGACACTTTCGTATGTAAAAGAGCAGTGGCTTAAAAAAAATAGCATATGCTAATTCAGAAATACATGTACAGCACCTGCCTTGCTGTGACCAAACCATCTGTTTAATGCCACAACATATTTTATGGCCCCACACTGAATATAAAAGATGTATTCGTTTTATACCTTATACCTAAACTGCTCCTGTTCTCCTCTGGGGGTGGGACAGGAAGGAAGGGCAAATCGCCTCCAGGGGAATTAATGGTATTGTCACAGAAACATTTAGACATCATTTACAGAGAAAAAGACTCCAAAATGACTGAGGTTTAAACAGAGACAGGTAAACACCCATATCTATCCAATTCCCAACACGTCTGTTTTGTATTAATGGAAGACTTCCAGATTAGTGAAACACCGGAGGGCGTCTCTCCACGCCATCCAAGGGGGAAAAGGTTCTCAAAGGCCAAAAATTACAACCTAAAATCACAGTTCGAAGAATGCAACCCTTGACTATCCCACCAGAAACTCTATAATGCATCATTTTTATTCTGCCCATCAAAAAGAAGGCTTATGATTTCTTTATCGCCACCCCAGTAAGGAGAATAAAACGAACGGGGACGACATATATGTACTGCCGTGCCGGCACCTATGTGCAAAGGAAGCTGTACATATATGCCCGGACAGAAGCATCATGCGGTGCGTGCCTGTGCAAGGAAGGCGGCTCCGCAGCGGCCACGGGAACGCTTCCCTTGGGCAGACCCTGCGCCCTTGACATGACAGCGGCGATCTGTCTCCTCTCCTCTTCGCTCAGCTGGCTCAGATCTGCCTCCATGCCGGCCGGAATCACGGTGTGCAAGGGGCTCCCCGCCCCGCCAGCCCCTCCTCCGGCGGCCGCGGCCGCTGCTGCCGCCAGCCCTTCGGGGAGCCCTTCCCCTTCCAAGCTCGCCTCATTGCCCATGGCTCAGGGAGACTCGGGGCCGCCGCGCTTCCTCTTTGCGCTGCGTCCCCGTCAGGAAGCCGGGGGTCCGCCGTGGGGCGTGCAGGCAGCGGAGTCCCTGGGCTCGGGACCGGGCGTTGCTGCCCGGAACGACAGGCGGGGATTAGTCCCGCTCGCAGGTGACGCCCGCGGCCGGTGCCTCCTCCATGTTGGACAACGCCAGGCAACCTTTGCAGAAGACAACTCCCGGACGCCGCCTCAGCGCCCCAAGCCGGGGAGAAGCAGATCTGAGCAGTGCCAGCCGCCCGCCGTCCGCCCCTCCCACCGCGCCCCGCCTCCTCGCAGTGCGCATGCCGGCCTCGGAACAGGTGATGTCCTTGCCCACGCCTATCCCGTCTGCGTCGCTCTGCATCCTTCCTTACTCTGAGCACCGATTTAAAGGAGCCCAGCGAGAGCACAGATTAAAAACCTCGACGAAACAGCTGTGGTTTCTCTCAGGCATATTGCAGAATGCCTCAACCTGACTTTTGGCCAACTACATTCGAGGGGGGCGCGAGGGGACTGGTGAGGATGTATCTGTTCCCAGCTTTGATTCATGGGATTTGTAGTTTAAACTTTTTTTTTTTTTCCATGACCCTTGATTACATTCTATCTACTTTAGACATAGATATTTTTGTTTTTTATTTTGACGTTCTTTTTTATTTGTTTAAGGAAGGTTTTAAAAGACACTGGGAATTGGTTCAGGTAACTGGGGATTAACAGGAAAAACCTGAGATCTCTGGGGCAAATTTCCCCCAAAGGAGCTAAAACTGGCCCCTTTCATTTAGATCTTTACTAGAACAATTGTATTAAAACCTTACATGCAGCATCAGTAAGCAGGTAAATTTTCTGAATGCTTTTAACTGTGTTGAACCCTAAAGGGACTACCTGGAAGTAAAGGATTATAGGAAATTGTGACTAGGATACTGTAGTAAGATATAGATTGTGGAATATTAAAGTGTTACAGTAAAATTTTGAAAACACGAGTTCACTACTTTTTTTTCTAAAAATGTGATCAGAAGAACCCCAAAAAGATCAATTAGTTTGTACAGTCACACAGCTGGTAAGCAGCAGAGGTATAATTAACCATGCCTTTAGACCCACTCTTCGCCTAACGCCAACAAACACACTCTTATCTTGCGACTACATTTCTTAAAAGGGAATGATTTATTTAGTTCAGCATTGGGGTTTAGTTCAAAACCCCAATTTTGCTACCTGCCTTTCCTAACACAATGGACTTAAAGTCCCGATTGTTGAGGTTCAGGAAAATCAAAAGCTAACTAGAAATGAATAAATAAATTAGACAGAAAAGAATAAGTTGCTCAGATAGTAAGTTTCCAAGGTTTTGCAATAATCATAATGATTTGACTTTGTGCATTTCACTCACATCAAAACTAAAAAGCGGCATAGTTATAACAGAGGGTGACTATGTGACTATAGCTAATCATCAGATGAAGAATCATTACTGGTTGAGTTCCTACAAAAACTTTCCATAAACTTTGATTCTCTCATAACTAACAGATGTGCTCTCCAAACTCAGAACTACAAAGAAGAGAATGCTCTTACTTCATATAAGTAAATCGAACTGAGGCAACCTAACATCCTAATGGCAAAAACATTATGGCCGTTCCTTCTAGAAATGAGTTAGCTTCAAAAAGGAAGATTGCTTGGCACACAACCCTGAATCAACATGCCGTCTCTGACAAAACAAGTTAACTGTTCCATTTTCAGGCTGCCATGTGAATCAGTAACACTAGATGAAGGTAAGAAGAGGTAAGAGTCATATGCTGGTTATTTTCTCATAATATAGTCAAGGTTTGTGAGAATAAAATATATTTGATGTATTCACACCCAAAAACCAGCTTAAAGAAAATAAGGGAAATATGCTTTCAAACTGTAGCCTCAGAATAATGATTAAGTAAGAAAATAAGTTGTTAACTTCCAAATTCTCTTCCACTGTAGATGAAAAGGAGCCTGTGAAATAATGAGTAAGAAATAGGAAATGATAATCAACATGCAAAGTAATGTTGCTGGGCTAAACAAAAAGTAATCATTTGTAAGATGGGAATATTACAGCCCATTGTGCAAAATGTGCATTCACCTTTTATTTCCTCCTCTCTCCTAGGAGCAAACATCATCAAAAAAAGGAAAATTGGGATATATGGTAAGAAGAGTAAATGGACTGTGAAAAGAAATGATATGATGCTGACATTTGGGAAACATTTTAGTTGTTGATTTTTTTAATGATTTTTGCCTTTGGGATCTTTATAACTGTGAGTTTTGAATAACATTTTTTTATCCTCCATTTGGGCTTAAGGTTTCTTGTGCTTGGGAGGTGTTTCTGATCTAAAGAGAAACGCTGCATTCCTTTTGTGGATCCTCAAAAATCTAATGATTAAAAGGATGAGGCCTTAAATGTTATAGATAGCTTTATCAATATCTTCCTGGCTTACCCAGAAAAATATCATAATTTGTTTCATTCTGCAAATTAATGATACTGAAATCAATATCTTTATCGCTCCCTCTTTGTCATATTGTTACTCTAATGATCATTTGTTTGAATTTAGATTTAATTTAACAAGCTGATATTTCAGCTCCAATTCACTCAGCTTGATAGGTGGGTCATGAAAGGAATCAGTTTCTTAAAATCTCCACTGTTATATACCATCTTGTTTTCTAAAATGACTTCTCAGTTCCAGGAAATCAGATATTTTCCTATTATTCTTGCCTCAGTTTCCCAGGTAATTTCTATTTTAGTAAATTAGAACCAAACTAAATGCGATAGTTAACAACTAAACGTGACTCCATAATGATTCATTGGATTTAAAAGTCCATGTATTTTAGTGTATGTGTGGATGTATATCTTTATGTTTGTGTAACTGTACACAATATGAAAATTTTTATATAGGCACACATCTTTTTCAATGTTCCTTCTCTAAAAGAGGGTAAGAGAAGATTGTGTTAATTTAGTGGAGCAAGAACCTGCAGGAGGTTAAGGTGCTACGTCATTTTTTGTTATGGCTGAGCTGCTTTTTAATTGCTGTTCTCAGCCATTTTTGTTAGCTCTGCTTTAAAACGAGATTTGCAGCTAGAGTGAAGGAAATTCAAATGAGATTACTGTTGATTATAAACTGCTTCTCAATTTTGAGGGAAAAATCATGAAGTGTTTTAGAGAAAATTTTGGTAAATTTATTTTTGAATTCTAACATCTGGAATATTAGGGATTTCTTTCCCTTTCTATTTAGTCCAAAGTAAATCTGCAATATAAAATAAAAGAGAAAGTCACTTGTATTTAAAACACATTCCTATAGGCAGGTTGTATAAAATTTAAGAATAAAATTGGTTTCTGTGTCACTTTACAATATTACTTTGTAATTTGAAAATTACTAGTAAGTATTAAGGTTATAGCTAGATGGGTCAACATTATTTAGCCATTTTATACACAGTCTTTAGAATTAAGAACCTAATGTTTGGAAAACAGGAATACTCTATGTGTGAATATCTTAGTCATGATTTTTGGTTGACAATGTTTGATTTTAAATCTCAGCTCTACCATCTTAGACCAATTTGTGTATGTCATTGACTTTTCAGAACTTGAAGTTCCTCAACTCTAAAATTGAAGAAAATAATATACTACCCCTCAGGGTCCCGTGATAATTAAATGAGATAAATATGTGAACACTCTTGTAAACTAGGAAACATAATATCTCAACCGCGGTAGATTCTTATGATATTGATCCTCAGGGAATCAGATCTGCCTGACCGCTACGCTACCCTCTACAGTGGGACCGCCACATTTCCCATCAAGAGGTAGGGTTTGTTTCCTCACCCCTTGACTGGAACTGAACCCCTAAATTATTTTTACCAGAAGAATGTGCTGGCACCAAACTTCCCAGGCTAGCTTTCCAACCTGGCCCTCTTATTTATTTAAAGACATTCATGCTCTGAAAAAGCACAGGAGGCGGGACTCCATGAGGAGAGGAGCCCAGCTGCCCCAGCCTCCAGCCATCTAGATCCTGAAGCCTGAATGAGTCCCCTTGAGCAAACTGCCTTGGCGGAGCTACCTGCTGGCTACAGCCACATCAGTGAACCAGGCAAAACCAGCAGAAGTGAACAATAAACCCAAAAGAATCGTTAGAATAATAGTTACTATTATAATATTATTTTAGGTCACTAAGTTTGAGGGGTTTAGAAATTCCAGGTTTTTTACACATTATGATTAGGCAGAATTTTTCAAAATTTTGTTTTCATCCTTTTACTTCTAGTGACTGTTTTCTCAGTAACTGTCCAGTTGGACTTGAGTTATTTGTTCACAATTTCTAAATAACACTCTTCTCAACTATAAATTAGAAAGAGCCCAGTTATATTGAATACTTACATGCTTGTTTCATAGAAGGTTCAAACAAGAAAATATGCCATGATTTTTGAATTATGTAACATTATCCAAATAGCAAAGTTATCTAAAAAAATGGAAAACATTCATGAGAATTTTTTCTGCAGGAGACCAATATATTTACTGGAGAAACTGTTGGGGAAGGAGGGTGACACTTTTAAGGTCCTCCTCAAGATGGTGTCTAAAACTATGGAAAAAAGTATTGAGATTCCTCAGAAAACTAAAAATAGATCTACCATACGACCCAGCAATTCCAGTTATGAGTATTTAGCAGAAGAAAATGAAAACACTACTTCGAAAAGATGCATGCATCTCTATGTTCACTGTCACATTATTTACAAAGCCAAGATATGGAAGCAACTCAGATGTCCATCAATAGATGAATGGATAAAGAAGATGTGGTGTATATATGCACAATGGAATACTACTCAGCAATAAAAAAATTCTGCCATTTGTGACAGCATAGGTAGTCCTAGAGGACATTATGCTAAATGAAGTAAGTCACACAGAGAAGGACAAATACCACATGATTTCACTTACATGGGGAATTTTTTTTAAAAAATCAAAACAAATGTACAAACAAAACAAAAACTCATAGAAACAAAGGGAAAAACTGATCATTGCTAGAGGGGAGTGGATGGACTGATGGGTAAAAATTTGAAG